GTGTGTGTGTCTGTGTGAGAGTGTGTGTGTCGTCTGTGAGAGTGAGCGTGTGTGTGTCTGTGTGAGAGTGTGTGTGTCGTCTGTGAGAGTGAGCGTGTGTGTGTCTGTGTGAGAGTGTGTGTGTCGTCTGTGAGAGTGTGTGTGTGTGTGTCGTCTGTGAGAGTGAGAGTGTGTGTGTGTGTGTGTGTGTCGTCTGTGTGAGTGAGTGAGAGAGAGAGTGTGTGTGTGTGTGTGTGTCTGTGTGTGTGTGTGTGTGTGTGTCTGTGTGTGTGTCAGTGATCCGCTAGTGTTTCCCAGCAACACTCACACACAACAAGACTTCAGATGAGAGACGAACAAACACCAGCAGCACATGGAGGCTTTCTGAGGACCAGCATTCATCAGATCAGAGTTTGGACAGACTGAAAACTGGCTTGTTTTCCTGTAAAAATCTAAAAAGATTTTTAAATTTACTGGATATGCAAAATAACATTAGATAAGAAGAGAAATTGATCAACATGAAGTGAGTTTATGCTTAAAACAGGAACAAATATCTGCCAGTGGGGTCAGAAAAATAAACTTGTTTTCTTTTTGAATTACATTGATTTTTCTGACCCCACTGGCAGATATTTGTTCCTGTTTTAAGCATAAACTCACTTGAACAGTTTCTCAGAAAGCAAAACTTCATGTCATTTTGCATCTCCAGTAAACGTCTCTTGATTAAAGGGTATTCAGACATTTGTTCTGGAAAACAAGACAAGCACTGAGGAAGAACATGAGTTTTTGCAGTGCAGTCTGTAGGTGATCATTTTTGGTTTTCAAGCATTTGAACTGTTTTAAAGTTCTTCTGTTGAGTGTGTCGATGTGGATCATTGAGATCTCTGTGATGAAGGTCTCGAGTGGTTTCGATCAGAAACGTCACGATGAACGCATGTGTGTTGATTTATCTCCGACTGATTGAGGTCATGTGTTTATTCCAGCAGGTTAGCAGTGGAGATCCGTCCTCATCCATTAAACTCCGTCAGGACACTGGTGCCAAACACAGTAAGAACGATCTTCAGTCTTGTCTTGAGAGATGCAGACGCTGACAGAGAGCTTCATAATGTACTGAACCCTGCTTTATTTCCCAGAGGTCCATCCGTCCTCTTGTTGAATTGATTATATGACGCGAATGGAGTGCTACAATTGATTTTATTAAGGCATCAATAACACATAACAATAATAAAGTGATGGTAACATGAGTTTAATCCACTGAAGCCACAGATAACTGTACCGTCTTCTGTTCTGGTCCAGGTCCATCAGAACCTCTGCAGTCTCCAGGCCGGACTCGCAGGTCACTGGGTCGACTGCGCCGCAGCGGGAGTTTGGACTCGGATCCAGACATTTTCAAAGCAACCAATCCCTCCGAGTCTGAGAAAGGTGACGCCACTGATCGCTCACGTGTGTCAGACGGGGTCGTGCTGAACCCAGCTTTTATAAATATGTGACCCTGGAGCACAAAGCCAGTCATAAGGGTCAATTTTTCGAAATTTGAGATGTATACATCAGCTGAAAGCTGAATAAATAATCTTTCCATTGATGTATGGTTTGTTAGGATCGGACAATATTTGAAAATCTGGAATCTGAGGGTGCAAAAAAATCTAAATATTGAGAAAATCATCTTTAAAGTTGTCCAAATGAAGTTCTTAGCAATGCATATTACTAATCAAACATTACGTTTTGATCTATTTACGGTAGGACATTTACAAAATATCTTCATGGAACATGATCTTTACTTAATATCCTAATGATTTTTGGCATAAAAGAGAAATGTATAATTGTGACCCATACAATGTATTGTTGGCTATTGCTACAAATATCCCCCAGCGACTCAACACTGCTTTTGTGCTGCAGGGACACATGTTCAGACGACAGTTTAATGTGATTTTATTAAAGGTTTCTGTGCAAAGTTGGCAGTAGAGTTTGGGAACCATAATTAATATTTTAATGTAACTTTTATTTGTATTTATTATTTTAGGTTTTTTTTATATATTAATATTTAGTTTTAATGAATTTTTTATTTCCAGTTAGTGATTTTAGTGCCTCAGTCAGTTAGTTGTAAAGGCAACATGTTTAATTTTCGACTAAAGCGTGATATTAAGTACTTGTTTTTATGTTTGGCTTTCTTCCACAGGTTTGCCCAAGACGAGTCGTTTCCCGTCGGGCGGCGCTGAGCGAACGTTCTCCCTCCCGACTAACTCCACACCTCCGGGCTCGTTTCTGCTGCCCTCGTACCCGCTGACCGCGCTAACAGGGAGTCTGCTGACCCCGACCTTACCACGCAGAAACCATGCTGACCCCTCGCTGTCCATGTCCAACACGTGGCCCAACAAACGTGACTTCAGCCCTCACCGCAGGAGCGACATCGCTGGTCAGGACACATGCACTGCATACACCTACACACGCCTCAGAGCTGTGAGACTCAAGCCACAGAACAAACTGAATCAGTAGTCCACTAAGTAAGGTGTTCAAGTAATCATTCATGACAATCAAACACAAAACTACTTCAGTCACTGCAGGGCTCAACGTTAACGCTTGTCTGGGACTTGTCAGTGGATTTTGTGAAGGGGCAAGTGAACTGGACAAGTAACCTCATTAAAACATCAATACAAACAATAACTAGGGCAGCACCGAATCTTTGGTGAGAATGATTCTGATTTTGAATGATGTGTCAGTGATTCAGTGAGCCATTCATAAAAAAAAGTCACTTGCTTTATTTATTGAATGAATTAGCCGTTTGAACGAATTGGTTGAATCAGTGGCTCACTCATTAAGACTTGGCGCCACCTACTGGTGGTTTGGTTTCATATTTAAAAGTATCATTGCATTTTCCAACATTTAATATTTATATGTTAAAAAAAGTAAAACACCACTTACCGAAACCGATTGATTAACCGATAGTTTTAAAATTGATACTGAACAAAAACTAAAATAGTGCTTTATTAACAAAAACAGTATTGAACCATACTAGTAGTAGTAAAAAAATAATAGTAATAGTAAATGTTGAAATTAACACTGTAACAAGGAACAATACTTACACAGCTTTCATTAATCTTAATGCTACAAATAGACTCTTATTTTAAAGTGTTACCATTTCATTTCAACTGTCATGCTTAAAGATGCACATCTTTAAATATATACACAAAGGCTATAGCATTAAAATTATATACATATAGATATTGTACGTATACTCCCACACTTTAACTGCTTCTATTCTTGAACACTTGATGATTATCTATAATCAAAATAAAAGCGAAGTGCGTCGTGTTCAACTCTAGCAGCGGTCTAAAACTGTTTATTTAATCACCAAACGGACACAAGTTTACTTCAAGAATGAACAACTTGGCATGGATGAGTTTGAAGTTCAAAGAGCAAACGGAAAGAGAAAGCGCGAACTATATTATAGCTCTATAAATGAAGCACACAGACTTTATTAGAGCCACAGAAAGACAAACGTTTTGCTGAAAATACACAATTCATTATGTACATTAACAACGATTCGGGACCAATATAATGTAATTTAAAGGAAAACTATGTGAATGGCGCTCTGTCTAAACAAATAGCACGTGCTGTCAGTGATTTCAGCCACTAGAGGCCGCTCTCGCACTGTGTAATGACAGCAGAGCCTTCTCAGCCGCTCCAGCAACGGACGCAACCCGGAAAACTATCGGCATGGATTTTTGTCGATAACCGATAGATCCAGCAATCAACTATTGGTGCCGATTAATCGGCAAAACCGATACATCGGTCGACCTCTAGTAACAACCATACAGAGTCTAATTATACTAACTGAATGTATTGATAAAATGTAAGAATTTGACGTAAATGATGACACGTACGTTTAGGTAAATATTGCCCTTCATAAAGTTAAAAAGTGTCCTAGAAATCAATTTAAGGCAAATATCACAAGTATGCTGATTAAAGTAGGACCTCATAGAGCACTGATGAGACTATTGCTTCAGATTGGATTACATTTACGCCAAAAAAAAAAGGCTTTTTTTGCCGCAAACCCTGCACTGTATTGTATTTGGGGTTGTTGATTAAACTTGTTAATTTGGTTCAATTAATTATGGAAAAATGTTAAAATGATTAAGGTATTTAATGCATTTTTAATGCAATATCTGCATGATTGCAAATGTGATATTGATTTGATATAACAGAATTGATTTTAAACTAACAAGAGAGATTTGAGTTCTGAAACTTTTATAGTACAATGATCGGTTATATGTCAAAATATCAAGGGAATTTTAATTCCCCAGTTCATGACCCCTTTAAAACTGGCATTATTGAAGTATCATTTTATTAAATCATTTTATATTTCAGTATTCACTTTTTGAGAAGAAACATTAATACCCATTTATTATCATTGAAAAGGAAATGATGTCATGCATTTTCCATGTAATTTCTTCACATACTTAATTAACGAGCTCCTCTGATGGCGTCACAGGTGAGGTGAGCTGCAGTCAACGCTCTCCGCTGCCTCCAGCCGTCCGTCAGAGCCCAAACACCAGCAGACAGACGGACAAACACCTGGACAGAGACCTGCACCTGGATCTGTCGGTCAGCAGCGGCGCAGGAGAGCCGGAGGACGAGCCGCTGGACCGCGAGGAGGTGAGCGTGACGCTCTGACACGCGTGTATGTGCGCTGATGTCAGCAGACCGTGACTCTGAGCTGTGTGTTGCTCCTTCAGATGCTGAACTCCTTGCTCTCGTTGAGGAACAGCGCTGCTAAGAAGCGGGCCAAAGTCAGCGCGAGCAGCTCTGAGCCGGATCCAGACAGTCCAGACTCGGCGGTGAAGCTGGAGCTGGTTCCTGATTCTCCGGAGCAGACGTCTCCATCCGTCACCAGCCCTCTGAGCGAGAGCGGCCTGAGCAGCCTGTACTCGCCCCCGTCGCCCATCGGCACCAAGAGCAGGTCAGTCGCTCCGTCTCCGGTGTAAACCAGTCCAGATCATTCACTCAAACCTAGAGGTTGGCTATATACCAATAGAGCTCCGGACGTCACGTGACCCATTCTGTTCACACCACCATGCTGGCTGACAGCCGGGAGCGAATATGAAATGAATGGCGCCAGCATGAGTACTTTAATTCAAAAGACAGAGGCCTGTACATAGCAAAACTTAATAGATTAAGCATAAGAGATCCCTATAATGCCCCCGTGGTGCTTTTAACATGTCTCAATAAAGGAACGGATAGATTTCCTGACCTGCAGTATCCTGAAATCTACAACTACCTCATCAACTTTCCCTCCTAACGTTACTCCGGAGACTCTTTAAAAGCCTGGAGGGGTACAAATGGACGCAATCTAAATTTTTGATGAATATTCAACCTATGTCATGTCGTCACTGGAAGGGTAAGTCAACTGTGTTGTTAGCTAACGTAATCGACCCTAGCTGTCCTTGTAGGTAGCCAGCATAGCTATATCACTGAGTACAGTAGACATCATAAATGTCATGAAATCTTACACGTTTAATCCCAAATTTTGTGTTGGTTAGCATGTTTTATTGCAGTGAACCATTTTAGTCGTCCTTCGGGATCCTTAGGAATACGATATAATGATTTCCCCTTTGCTTTATGGGACAACCGCGTATATATAAATATATATATATATATATATATGAAAATGCGTATTTTTGAATTAGAGATAACTTATAGATTTAATATGGGATGCTTTTGGTGCTTGACGCTTTTTTTTTTATTGGTCATTTTGTGTGTTTTACGAGTAAGCTAGACTACAAGGTTAAGAAGCTTACTTAAATGTAAAATGTTTTTTCTCTATTTTGCAATAAAAGACTGCTTTATTGATCACGTCTCGGGTAGATTGCATGTTTTCTTGCATGGCGGGATGTTGGACTCGTGTATGGTGGAGTTTAGAGTGCGTGACGTCAGCCTCCGGAGCTCTATAGACATGATAAACTGACAGAGATTTTGGATGCTTGTCTCTATTGTGGTTACGTGACGTTGTAGTGCCCTCGCAATCTTTTGCAAGTGTTTTTAAGCCTTACCGGTTAAAACATTCAAGCGATTTTAAACAGTTTGCCATGAAAGAGAATTAATTTCAGTTTCACATTAAGCTGGCTCTGTACAGAAGTTTTAACTCACATTTCTGGTTTATTTCATGAGTCTAGCCCTGTGAACTCTGCTGCGAAACCACGAGTGCCATCAGGAAGACACGTCACGAGGGACGTCAGCGCTCGAGGTGTGTATGTGAAGCACACGAGCACAGCTGCATACGTGCTGTCAAATGTGTGTGTTACCTGTCCTCTGTGTGTGTGTGTGTGTGTGTGTGTCTGTGTCTGTGTCTCTGTGTGTGTGTGGTCTGTGTTGTGTGTGTGTGTGTGTGTGTGAGAGTCTGTCTGTGTGTGTGTGTGTGTGTGTTACAGGTGTGACGCAGCAGGAGAAGAGTCTGTCTGATGGGAATGTGAGTGTGATCGGTCAGAGACTCGTTTACTCGAACAGATCGTTAGATCCAGACGAGGAGAAGCCCAGCGACATGACATCATCATCATCATCACCGCAGATCAGAGCCGCCGGCCGCGAGCCGCTCCGCGCTCTCAGACCCGCTAAAGGTGAGCCGAACAAACCTTATACATTACCAGTTAAAAGATTTCTTCTGCTCGCAGAGGCTGCAATAGTTTGATCAAAAATACAGTAAAAATTGTGAAATATTATTATAATTTCAAATATCTGTTTTCTGTGTGAATATGTGTTAAAGTGTAATGTATTTCTGTGATGCGCAGCTGTATTTTCAGCATCATTCCTCCAGTCTTCAGTGTCACATGATCTTCAGAAATCAGTATAATATGCTGATCTGCTGCTCGAGAAACATTTCTGATTATTATCAATGTTGAACACAGTCGTGCTGCACGATATTTATTTTATGATGCATTTTATTTTTCAGGATTCACAGATGAACAGAAAGTTCAAAAGAACAGCATTTATTTGAAATAGAAATATTTTGTAACATTATAAATGCCTTTACTGTCACTTTTGATCAGTTTAGTGCGTCCTTGAAGAATAAAAGCATTAATTTATTTTTGTGGTTGTTGTTTTTTTTAATCTTACTGACCCCAAATGTAGTGTATAGTGTTGGTAGTGTATCACGGTTTCACAAAAATATTGTGCAGCACAACTGTGTTCAGCATTGATAATAATCAGAAATGTTTCTGGAGCAGCAGATCAGCATATTATACTGATTTCTGAAGATCATGTGACACTGAAGACTGGAGGAATGATGCTGAAAATACAGCTGCACATCACAGAAATACATTACAGTTTAACACATTCACATAGAGAACAGATATTTGAAATTATAATAATATTTCACTATTTTTACTGTATTTTTTATCAAATTAATGCAGCCTTGCTCAGCAGAAATGCTTCTTTCAAAAAAACTTTTTTTTAAAAATCGTAATTCTTCCAGTCTTTGACCGGTGGTGTATAAAATGTCTGATAATGTTTGAGAGTCCTGTTGAGTATTTTCTGATGTAATAATGTCTGTTGTTTCTCTCAGGATCTCAGCAGCGCGTGTCGTGCAGTCGTGACATGTCTGAGGGCGTGATTGGACGAGGTCAGTTCACCGCTGTTTCACTGTCAGCTGATCTAAAGCACAGCCGCTCTCATCCTCGCTCGGCTTCTTCCCTCATGTCTGCAGGAGTGTTCGGTTCGGCTGTTCTGCCCAATCGTCTCAGTGTGGCGTCTTCTCCTGAGCAGGGCGACTCGGCCGGTAAAATCACCCGTGAGCCTCCGTCAGGCGTGTACGGACACGCACTCCTCGAGTCTGACGCCAGTCCTGAACCAGAGGTGCGTCTCAAACAGACCGACGGCGTTCAGTCGAGCCTCCGCTGTGATCCTGAGTCACGTGATCTGTGTGTGTTACAGGAGAGAGTCAGACTCTCTAGGTTTGCGAGCGACAAGATGCGTCAGCGGCGTCTGGAGCAGCAGGACACGCCCCCTGCTCAGGACCCAATGAGACGCCGCCTGCTCATCGACGATGTGAAAGGTGAGAGGTCAACAGCAGTGACGGCCATCACTCATCTGACATCTCTGTGCTCACCGTTTCTGTTTGTTTTCCAGACGGGAGTCTGAACGGTTGTGAGTGGCTCTCTGATGAATCTCCCTCCAGCCCGACTGGATCGCAGAATACAGTGAAATGTCTAAGCCCCGCCCATCAGCCCGCCCCCCCGACCGGCCCGCCCAATAAGAACTCAGCACCCCGACTGAGACGAGCGTCTAGTTTGAACCGCACCAGACCGCCTGCGTCACACAGCTCCGGTGAGAGAGAAAATATACACATATACACATTATGTGCAGCGAACAATAAAATCACGCAAACACTTATTTAAATCTGCTTCAGACTTCACATCACTGTTCAAAAGTTTGGGGTCAGTCAGATTTAAAAAAATAATAATAATCTATATTTTTATTCATCAGTGACACATTAAACTGATGAAAAGTGACAGTAAAGACATTTATGATGTTACAAAAGATTTCTATTTCGAATAAATGCTGTTCTTTTGAACTTTCTGTGAATCCTGAAACAGAATGCATCACAGTTTCCACAAAAATATTGTGCAGCACGACTGTGTTCAACATTGATAATAAAGCAGCATATTATACTGATTTCTGAAGATCATGTGACACTGAAGACTGGAGTAATGATGCTGAAAATACAGCTGCACATCACAGAAATACATTACAGTTTAACTGATATTCACTTAGAAAACTGCTGTTTTAAATTATAATAATATTTCACTATTTTTACTGTATTTTTGATCAAATTAATGCAGCACTTGCGAGCAGACGAGACTACTTTCAGAAACATCAGAAAAATCTTACTAACCCCAGACTTTTGAGCAGCAGTGATACTACAGGAAACTAACACATCTGTTAAAACTCACTCACATTTACTGTTTGTTTTGTTTTTTTGGTGAATTTTTACAGGCGAAGTCCTGTCATTTTAATAGGAATCTAAAAGATTTCTACATGCATATTTCGCATTGCCTTCAGTCAGTCATGCAGATTCACCGTGTTGACCCACAGAAAGCTGCTTGGCTGTAAAGTGACTGTGCTTCATACATCAATACACTACTGACAATGGACTTTTCCTGCAAAACTTCACTGATGTGTTGCTATTGTGACTGCAGTAAGTGGTAGATGTATCTCACAAAGGTCAACAGGGTCATGGCTTCAGTTCCCAGGAAGCACACTGATGACATGTTTACTATAAATGCACCGCAGGTTGATTTGGATAAAAGCTTCTAGAATCTTCCTGAATGTCATGTCAGATATGATCAGCCTGTCACTGAGGCTGTTGTTCACGTGTGTCCATCAGATGAGCTGATTCCTGTGAGTCTGAAGAAAGAGGGTCAGGATCAGGCAGACCTGCGGCCGTTCTCTAAACCGGAGCTGGCGCTGACGCAGAGCTTCAGACTGATCGCCTCAGACGACTGGTGAGTCTGACAGCAGATGTGATCGTTCATCACACACAGAGAGAAATCCACAGATCCTCTTGTAAAGTCGTTAGCGTAAATTTGTTCTGTTCGTGAAGGGAGAAGAAGATCGAGGGGTTGAACTTCCTGCGTAGTTTGGCTCAGTATCATCCTGACGTGCTCATGAGCAGGATTCATGACGTGTGTCTCGCTCTTATTCAGGAGGTCAGTCACTACTGCAGCTCACGCTTGCAAACATTGATTCAGAGCAGCATCGCTTTCACAAATCATGGAAGTACCAGTGGTAATTAGTGATGAAACAAACTCTTCTCATGATTGATCTCATGTGTGTCTCTCTCTGATGAAGGTTCGTAACCTGCGCTCCGGTGTGTCTCGTGTGGCTGTGGTGACGCTGGGAGAGATGTTCGCGGTGCTGCAGAAGGGAATGGATCAGGAGCTGGATGGGACGGTCAGAGCTCTGCTGCAGAAAGCCGGAGAATGCAACGCCTTCATCAGACAAGACGTGGAGCGAGCGCTGGAGAGCATGGTGCAGCACTGCACTCTCACACGCAGCATGAGCGCGCTGCTCGCCGGAGGACTCGGGTCAGAGATCACCTGCGTCACATGATCACACACACACACCTCGAAGCCATCAAAC